TTAAGTTTTTGCAAATTGCTTCGCACTCTTTGAATGTTTTATAACTGTATTTTATGGGGGAAATCATATGTAAATTTATTTTGTTCAATTAAACTCATTTTGCTAACCTTGCTTAGATCCCTTTAATCCCTTATATCCAATGCTAATATTACCTTCAAAATAACAAAGTCCGTGCATTTGCACTGCCACAACTAGTATAAAAATAAAAATGAAACCGAAGCAAGGACTTAATTTTCAAACAAAAATTAAAATAACTTTTTAAGAAAACTCATTTTACAAAGACAAAATTCAGTAAAAATCATCCTTCAATATGCTTCTCTTGTCCACTCCGAAGCGTGCTTTACAAACCTCACAACGACTAATTAATTATTTTCTTTTTTGTTTTTCCAAACAAACATACAAATTATTAGGTCACTTTTGTGAGTTTCTCAGCAAAAACAGAATCTCTCTCTCTCTCTCTCTCTCTCCCCGTCTCTCCGAAAGTTCCACGTTTGGGTGTTCAAATTTTTGAATTTCCACTCGAAAACCCCTACCCCAATTCCATTAAATTTCTGGGTTTCCTCCCCACGTCCGACAGTATTGTTTAGAACAAAAGCTGTCCTTCTCGGCAGGTAAATTTCTAACTTTTCTGATTTACAATTTATATTATTATGATTCAATTAGGGTTCATGATTGATTTTTCTACTTGTAATTTTAATTGTAAAAGAGTTTTAGGAACTGGTTTTGTTGAATTTTTCTCGGTTCATTAAGGTTCAGTGGTTTCCTCGTTTTATTGTTAATTGAAGGTTTTCATGGGTTGTCTGAACCATTTTTTCTTTTTAATTTAGTACTTTTTGGGCATAATAAAGGTCGGGATTTTTAATTGTACTCATGGTTTTACTGATGAAAGACTGTTTGGCTGCACTAACTAGAGAAAAGAACAGAAAAACTGAAAAAGCAAAATAAATTGATTATTTATTTGAAAATTAGCGGACCTGATTAGTTTATTACTGATCAATTTTAGAGGTGCTAGTTTTGGGTGTTAATTGTGCAATTCAAATGCAGTGCTTTGGTAGTGAACAAGACTTTTAATGTTGTATTCTGATAACAAATATGCATATTGATGTGGCAGTTACATATTTGGACAACGGAGTGCAATTCCATGAATTTTTTTGATGTGTTGATACCACAGTCCTTGCTTTATTTAACTGTGTGCAAACAATTACAGAATTTAGGTTTAACCGGTACCGCTTCTTGTTCCATTATATATCCAGTTTGTAAATGGGTTTTTTGATTACTTTCCCGAGTGAAAGGCTATGGAGATTTTACTTTCATTTATTAGATGTAAAATCTTGCAGAAAGTGGTTCTGTTAAAATTCTGGATTCCACTATGGTACAGGATTTTATTTAGTTTCTTGTTCATAAGATATTTCATGGGATATCTGCATCGTTCTTCCTGGTTTGTTCAAAGTTTATGGGAAATAAATGGAAAAATTAGGAATTTTCAACTGCAGTTATAAATTTTACTAATTATTAACAGTTTGGTTGCAATCACAAGACAAAAGAAGAAAAAGTGGAAATAGGAAATAAGTGAACCCATATATTAGAATTAAGCCCCTGTTTGTCTATCATTAAAGTAGGAAAATGAGTATTGGAATAGTGAATTTTTGGAGAATGTGGTGGTTAAAAGTGGTAAGTTTTGTACAAAAAATTTTATTGTGAACGTGTGGTTGAAAATGAGTTTGAGAAAAAAGAGTTTGAAATAATGGTAGACAAATGGGGGCTAAAATATTGGCTGACCTGATTCTTTGTGGATAGAGGGTATGATAGTAAGGGAATGGAAAGGGAATTCAGGATAGGTTTTAGATAAACTCTGCAAGGTTTCAGAAACCGTTATCTGATTTAAAATCACAGTCATAACTATTTAAAGCCGTGCGAAGAAACATGTTTAGATGATCATTTAGGAAATTTAATGAGATGCCAGTAATTCAAAATAAGAGCTTCCATTTTTAATTTGAATGTCACTCTGTCTGTGTTATACATTTGTGTGGGCTAACAATTGCTGAATTCACGATTGAATTTCGATGGGGGTACCTTGTTATGTGATCTTAGTTCCATTGCATTATCCGGTGCATAACTAGGTAACGATTATTTGCACATGTGAAAGCTATGAAAATTTTGGACTATCTGGAAAGCAACTCTATTGTGTGCTGTCGCCTTTTTAGTTTTTTTGGTTCTTCGTGAATGTATGTAGCTACTGTGGTCTAGGTTCGAGTATCTCTAGTATTTCTTCTTTCTTAAAAATGTGAGCATGCTGCAAACTTTGTATTCACGTACGTGGCTCATGAACATGGGCAATTAGGTATGCTGTTATTGCTACCTGTAATCATGTATTTGCAACATTTGGAATGGATTATTTTTTGTTTTTCTCTTAAATATCTAGCTTACTGACCATTGTCCATTCAGTGGCAAATGAGGGGAATATCCACAAGTCACTCTCATCCCAGACCCTGCTCTGGGAGGAAAACATCAAGAAAGGACAGGAATAATGGGGAAGCTGATAATATTATTCTCATCGATGTAGATCCTGATCATTTCGACAATGTTATTATCATTGATGTTCCTGAATCT